TTCTTAAGTTCCATGGACTCCTTTGGCAATCATATGTGATGTCACATAACATACATTTAGAAAATTATTCTGAGAAAGGGTGAAGTCTATGTTTCTAAATGTATGTAATGGAGTTATGAGATTACAAAGGCCACCAACTCTATTGAATTATAGTTATCAAAATATGTTTTTAAATGTGTGATAGGGTAATAAGTGTTTCCTTATTAACATTTTTAAAAAGAGCCAGTGACAAGTCTAAAAACAACTGCAATTTGAAGTTGCGATGAGTGTCAATGATAGTTCAAGTTATCCATAACAACTCGAAACGTGATACAGAAATATCTGTGATTTCTATTGGTGACAGCCTCACAGGTACAGCTAATACTAAAGTGATTTGTTGCCAAATGCATAGTAGACAGAAATACTAATTCTCAGTTAAACAATAGTGAAAATAAAGACATAAACGTTTCCCCCTCCATAGTCCCTTGGGTGGACCCATGGACCCCAGATTAAAACACCTGCTGTGGAACTGCCAGAGCCTAGCCCTATCTGCCTCATCCTGCCCAGCTCGGCCCATCTGGACTGATGGAAGCTCGTAGACCAGCTCCATCACTGTCAACCTCTTCCGGCCAGAGAAATTTTTCCAGAAGTTCAGGACATATTTCTTTGATGCCGCAGCAGCCTTGGACACAGCACCCCTTCTAATGACAAGAATGGAGCAGTGTTGTGCGGAAGGATTAGTTGAAAAGCATTTCTGGAAAGCAGCCTTTATCTTTGCTTACCAATCAACTGGGGAATCTAGAAAAAAATGCAGATTCCTGGACACTCCCTCCCCCACCCCACAACATATGCACCTCTCTCCTCTCCCTTCTCTCTCTCTCTTTCTCACACACACACACACGCGCGCGCGCACACACACATGTCCCTCAGAGCTTCTAATTCAGTGGGTTTAGGGTTGGGCCCAGGTATCTGCATTTTAAAGGGTCAGGCCAGGTGATCAAGCCATTGCTATCAGGTGCATTAGCCTAGAGTCCAGCTTACCAGAGACCTCTTTTGGGAGCAATTTTTGTTTCCAAATGGAAGAGAAGGAAGAAAGCAGGGACCCTTTCAGAGCACTTCCCAACAGCTGCCAGGCCAGCCCTCAGGTGGCTATTGGCCGCCTAACTCTAAGGGTTCATCATCAGGGCAGAGCAGCCTACAGTTCCCATCAGAAGTAAAATCTCGTGGCTAAATTATCCTCTTTTGCGAAAAGGAAATGTTCTTCCTCCTTTTCTCTCCACCTCCCCTGTTTTCCCCCGGGGGATGCTGCAAAGACAGAAAGGAGTAAATACATGATTCGCAGAGAGGCTTGACCTCTTAACAAAGGTGCCGAATAAATCCTGGGTGTTTCCCAAAGCCCCCTACTTTGGAGCACACAGCGTGAGGACTTCTCAGACTCAGAGGCCTGCTGTTCCAGTGTACAGGGTAGCTCCTTTGTCTTATCTGCAATAACTTTATCTGCAATCTGGAAGATAACTTCAGACTGTGTTAAGAGAACAATGATATAAACCTCTCTCTATCATTCGACCCTTGACCTTTTTCTGGAAGAAACACAAGAGGGAGGTCTGTGGCTCGCTGATCTTTTTATATCTTTATCCTCACCAGTCAAGACTTTATTAGAAACTTAACTAAAGCCGCCTAGACTCTATCTGGCACACAGGTGGTGAGATTCTGCATTCAAGACTGAATGAATCTAAACTGACAGGTAAATCGTAGTTTTGTATGTGAACAAAGAAGCAAAAGATTTTCCTAATATATTAAACACATCTTTTACATATAACATTATGCTAAATTATATTTATCAGCAATTACAGTGTGATTTAGTTTTCCCCCTCTTGCTGTAGGGCTATTTATAGCTCCTGGCAGTTAATTTATCAGTTTTAGATTTTTAACAGCTTACTATTTAATAGGTGGTTGTTCAGTGAAATATATAGAATTTATGCATTTCTCTCCAGTGTTCCATCCACCTCTCACAAGCAACAATAGCACTTATTACTAACTTTTGGTTTCTGCCCCCCCCCCC